CGCCCGCCGCCGTTCGGTCGCTCGGCCCCTCGGCTGGCCCAATTCATTGGTTTTGTTTGTTTTTGTTTGTTTTCGCTTGTCCGTCGGCTGCACTGGTCGCCCCAGGCCCGCCCGCCGCCGTTCGGTCGCTCGGCCCCTCGGCTGGCCAAATGCATCGGTTTTGTTTGTTTTTGTTTGTTTTCGCTTGTCCGTCGGCTGCACTGGTCGCCCTGCGCACGCCCGCCGCCTTTCGGTCGCTCGGAGCCCTCGGCTGGCCCCATTCCCTACAAGCGAAACAAACAGAAACAAAGAAAGCCAGGGAATGGGGCCAGCCGAGGGGCCGGGCGACCGAAAGGCGGCGGGCGAGCCTGGGGCGACCAGTGCAGCCGACGGACAAGCGAAAACAAACAAAAACAAACAAACCCAATGAATTTGGCGATCCGAGGGGCCGAGCGACCGGAAAGCGGCGGGAGAGGCTGGGGCGACCAGTGCAGCCGACGGACAAGCGAAAACAAACAAAACAAAGAAAACAATTGAATTCGGCCAGCCGAGGGGCAGAGCGACCGAAACGCGGCGGGCGAGCCTGGGGCCACAAGTACAACCGACGGACAAACGAAAACAAACCAAAACAAACAACACCACGGAAATGAGCCAGCCGAGGGGCCGAGCGACCGAAAAGCCGCGGGCGAGCCTGGAGCGACCAGCGCAGCCGACGGACAAGCGAAAACAAACAAAAACAAACAAAACTAAGCATTTGGCCAGCCGAGGGGCAGGGCAGCGCGACCGAAAGGCGGCGGGCGAGCCTGAGGCGACCAGTGCAGCCGACGGACAAGCGAAAACAAACAGAAACCAAACGAAACCAAGGACTGGGGCCAGCCGGGGTGCCGAGCGACCGAAAGGCGGCGGGCGTGCGCAGGGCGACCAGTGCAGCCGACGGACAAGCGAAAACCAACAAAAACAAAGAAAACCAGCGAATCTGGCCAGCCGAGGGGCCGAGCGACCGCGGGGCGGCGGGCGAGCCTGGGGCGACCATTGCAGCCGACGGACAGGCGAAAACAAACAAAAACAAACAAACCCAACGAATTGCGCCAGCCGAGGGGCCGAACGACCGCGGGGCGGCGGGCGAGCCTGGGGCGACCAGTGCAGCTGACGGACAAGCGAAAACAAACAAAAACAAACCAAACCAAATAATGGGGCCAGCCGAGAGGCCGAGCGACCGCGGGGCGGCGGGCGAGCCTGGAGCGACCAGCGCAGCCGACGGACAAGCGAAAACAAACAACAACAAACAAAACCATGAATGGGGCCCGCCGAGGGGCCGAGCGACCGCGGGGCGGCGGGCGAGCCTGGGGCGACCAGTGCAGCCGACGGACAAGCGAAAACAAACGAAACGAACAAACACACAGAAATCGACCAGCCGAGAGGCCGAGCGACCGCAGGGCGGCGGGCGAGCCTGAGGCGACCAGTGCAGCCGACGGACAAACCAAAACAAACAAAAACAAACAAAACCAAAGAATTGGGCCAGCCGAGGGGTCGAGCGACCGAAAGGCGGCGGGCGAGCCTGTGGCGACCAGTGCAGCCGACGGACAAACGAAAACAATCAACCACAAACAAAACAAAGGAATGAGGCCAGCCGAAAGGCAGAGCGACCGCTGTGCGGCGGGCGAGCCCGGGGCGACCATTGCAGCCGACGGGCAAGCGAAAACAAGCAAAAAACAAACAAAACCAAGGAATGGGGCCAGCCGAGGGGGCGAGCGACCGAAAGGCGGCGGGCGAGCCTGGGGCGACCAGTGCAGCCGACGGACAAGCGAACACAAACAGAAACAAACAAAACCAAGGAATGGGGCCAGCCGAAGGGCCGAGCGACCGCGGGGCGGCGGGCGAGCCTGAGGCGACCAGTGCAGCCGACGGACAAGCGAAAACAAGCAAAAGCAAACAAAACAAAAAAATGAGCCAGCCGAGGGGCCGAGCGACCGAGACGCGGCGGGCGAACCTGTGGCAACCAGTACAGCCGAAGGACAAGCGAAAACAAACAAAAACAAACAAAACCAGTGCATGGGGCCAGCCGAGGGGCCGAGCGACCGCGGGGCGGCGGGCGAGCCTGGGGCGACCAGTGCAGCCGACGGAGAAGCGAAAAAAAACAAAAACAAACAAAATCAAGGAATGGGGCCAGCCGAGGGGCCGAGTGACCGCGGGGCGGCGGGCGAGCCTGAGGCGACCAGTGCAGCCGACGGACAAGCGAAAACAAACAGAAACAAACAAAACCAAGGAATGGGGCAAACTGAGGGGGCGAGCGACCGCGGGGAGGTGGGCGAGCCCGGGGCGACCAGTGCAGCCGACGGACAAGCGAAAAAAAACAAAACAAAAAAAAACAAAACCATTGCATGGGGCAAGCCGAGGGGCCGAGCGACCGCGGGGAGGTGGGCGAGCCTGGGGCGACCAGTGCAGCCGACGGGCAAGCGAAAACAAACAAAAACAAACAAAACCAAATAGTGGGGCCAGGCCGAGCGACCGCGGGGCGGCGGGCGACACTGGGGCGACCAGTGCAGCCGACGGACAAGCGAAAACAAACAAAACAATCAAAACCAAGGAATGGGGCCAGCCGAGGGGCCGAGCGACCAGCGTCGCCCAGGGAAGTGACAACCAAACCCTAGAAGTAGATTAGGTTTGCGCCCGCCCCCAAAAAAAACAAAAAATATAGATTCTTGAAATAGGAAGGCGCTTAAAGTAGATTGGGATCTGGGAATCCAAAAATACCTACTTTCAACGACCGGTGGGTACACATCTGCAGTACCTGCTAGCCCTTCAGAGTTGGGCTGCTCCATCTCTCTGAAAACCTGTTGGGCTCGCGCATGCCATGTGGTGCAGTCCGTGACCAAACGCTCGCACCTACGGACGAACACTATACGTTCCTCCGAGGTCCCCCTGAGGCGAGCGCCCTTCTTGACATAGTTGTCGGCCATAACATTCGTTCAAAATGTCTATTTCTGATGGTCGGAACGCGCTGAAAACAGGGCCTGGTAGGATTTCACCTTGAACACCGAAACCCTGGAACCGATCGTGTACCACCAGTCCCGCCACAGATGCTGGCGAAGATGAGGATGAGAGAATGGAGGAGCAGCAGGAGGAGCAGCAGGAGGACCGGGAAGGAGGAGCAGGAGGACGACCAGAAGGAGGACCAGGAAGACCAGGAGGAGAAGCAGGAGGAAGAGAAGAGAAGGAGGCGAAGAGGCACGGGGTGGAAGGGAGAGGGGATAGCAGAGGGGGAGAAGGAGCGAGGATGAACAGCAAGCGACAAGAGGGAGGGGTGCAGAGGAAAATGAGCGGATTGCACCAGAGAAAAACCCCGATCAATGTATGGTTCGATCAAGAAAACGATCGACCGGGAACCCGGGAACCCAGAACCCACCGAAATCGGCCCGGAACCAATAATCAGAAACCCGGGAAACCGGATCCAGAACCCGGGAACCCAGCCGGCCACCAAAATCGGCGGGAACCTTTCGCCAAAACTTTCATTTTCCGCTAAGACCCCTTCAGTGCAAGCACTGATTGGGGAAAAATGCTTCCACGCCCTCGGCCCGGGCACTGGACGTCGCCTGGGAGAGCTGCTCCCGGGGTGGGGGGTAGCAACACCAGAACCAGACACAACTATTTCATGCGGGCCCCAAGAAGATACACCACCACCACGTCGCTTCCTCCTCCCTCCTTCACTCTCGTCTCCCGCTCCTCCTTCCTGGGGGAGGGAGAGCATGACAGAGGTGGTGGTGGTGTATACCTTTTGGGCCCCGTCTTCTACAATCATCATGCGAAGGGCGTTCTCTCGCAGGCCTGGAGATTGACACCAACACCAATTTCGGCGGTGTGCCTCCACCGAGGGAAGAAGACTTTGATCTCGGCGATGGTGGTAATATTCTGGCTTCCAAGGTGGCCGAACTATCACCACCAACACCGAAAATCTAGGATCATCTTCCCCCTGTGGAAGCAACCCTCAGTCTTGGTGCTGGTGCCCATTTCCAGGCCTCCGATCCTCTGGCTGCGACGAACCTCGGGCACGGACCGGCTCTCCGTGCCCCCCGACCTGGATCCGAGGAACGGCCCCCGGACCAGGGCCCACCCCCCCGAGCCCAGAGTGGTCCTTGCTCTGGTGACTCTGGTGGGCTCGTGCTCCACCGCCGCCACCAGGAGCAGGAGGGGGAGGGGGTCCTCCTCCTCCTCCTCCAACTTCCTCCTCCTCCTCCTCCTCCTCCTCCTCCTCCTCCTCCTCCACCTCCTTCCCCCCTCCAACTCCTGGTGGCGGCGGTGGGAAGCAGGCCCCTCATTCTTCAGCGCCTGGACCGTGGCCGTGGACTTCCGGAGGACCGCGCGGAGCTCACGGGACGGGGGCCGCCTCGGCGCGCGCACTGCTCGTGTCGGGGCCCTGCCTGGCCGCGGGACGGGGCAACCGATGGCGACGGCACCGGGCCGAGCTCTGCGGGCGCAGCGAGGAGTGAGGATCTGGGATCCCCCTCGCGTGGGCCAAAACTCGCGACGGAACACGTGGGCCGGAGTTCCGACTGACGGTGTGGAAGACGGTACACGGAGAGGAAGCACGTTGCTGAATCATTTCCAGATGTCAAAAACATGGCTTGAACATGTTTTAAACATGTGTTTTGTTACATCCAAGACAAACATGTTTCAAACATGCGTTAAGCAGTTCGAAAGCATTTGAATCACATTTTAAATCCAATGACAGAGCTGTTAGAATGTCCATTGTCATGTCATCTGCATGACTAGCGGAGCCGTTGCAAGGGACCGTCAAGAAACGACTCCGTCTGCACAACCAGTCCCTTGGAAGGGGTGGAGAGCTGCGAAGCGCGAGACCTGGATCGTAAACTGAACCTGTACCCCCGCGTGCACGGGTGCAGTCAGGTGAGCTGATGAAGGCGCCTGTGAGGAGGACCCAGGAGCGCGTTTGTTTATTTTCGGCGATAATGGTCATTGTCTTTATTTTCGGCGATAATGGTCATTACAGGGGGGGGAGGGGCCAGGGGGGGGGGGGTATGATGTAACGCCTCCCCCCCGCCGTGCGCACGGCGGCAGCGCCCGGAGGGCACCGGGGGGAGTGGGGGCTGGGGGCCATAAGTGCCCATTCTGCCCCAAGCAAGAAGGAACCACGCTCCAGGATCGCAGGCGCACCTCCAGCGGGAGCAAACGCGGAGGCATCGACCTGCACACGGGCGCCACGAGAGAGAGGCCTCCTGCCGCTGCTCTTCGGGCTCGAGGCGCACTCGTCGAGGGAGGCGGCGGGCGGGCCCGGAGTACGCAGCCAGCCCTCAGTCCTGAGCATCGCTCCTCCGACCACCATCCCCAGCGGCGTGGCCTGGGCCCCACTGGCCGATTGTTACCCCCCCAGATGGGGATACAGTCGGGGCGTTGACCTGAGGAACCCTAAATAAGGAACGAGGCCCCTCTTTCCCATAAGTTACACTTCGATGTCCCGTGGGAAACCTAAGGGAACCCCGAGGCAAACTGCAAAACGATCAAGGAACACGGAGCCCCTCCCCAACGAAAAGCGTTCCTTCTTCAGGGCCCCGACTGTAAGGCCGTTCCCTTCGGGTTTCGAGGGGTGTATCCCCAACTGGGGCGGCAATGTGGCAGGGGGTCTCGAAGGGGATGAGGATGGGGATGGGGGTCGGTTGAACGATACCGGAGTCCAGCAGCACGCACGGCTGGTCCTGAAGCGTGTGCGGGGCAGTCTCCAGCCTTGGTTTATGATCTTCCAACCTACTTTAGCCTAGATCACCAGAGAGAATCTCGAGCACCAGGAGAGTGCTGAAACTGTGGGGTTTTCGCGTGTCGGGCTCTGGGAGGCGATACTCGCTCGACACCGTTTCGATACCTTTCTCGGTGCTCGAAACTATTTCTGGGATGCGGTCCTTAAGTACGATGGGAGCAACATAAGCCTTGGTGCCCTGGTGGGGTCGCCCATCTTGCCGCCTGCCACGAGCGCGGAGGAGGGCAGCGGGGGGGCTCCGGCCCGAGTCATTGTCCCTCCAGTCGCCCAGTCGGAGGTCCCTGGCCACCCCTGCCCGCCATCGCTGACGCGGCTCTCCTCGAGGTGCCTCATCCGCCTCGAAACATCTTCCATCGTGGCATCCATGCGGCCCAGTATGGGTGTAATGCTCCTGCTGAGCTGCTTGGTCTCGTACTCTAGGGCGGCCAGCACCATGTCGCCATTCTTCAGCTTGGCTTCGCACACCTGCAAGAACTCCTCGACGTCAACACCCACGTCGTTGTCGGCATGCCCCTCCATCTTTAGGACCTTGAATATCTTCCTGGCTTCGCTATAGTCGATATGCAAGGACTTGAAGAACTCCTTGACTGGTGCCTTCAGGCGGTGATCGCTGACGACGCTCCAAGAGAACCGTCGCCCATTCGAGCTGCCACGCTCGCCCATCTGCTCCAGAAGGAACTCCTTAAAATGTCCGATCTTGTCTTCGGAGCGAGCATCCTCGAGGACAAGGTCAGTCATCTCCTCGTTGTCTTTGTCCCTGCACTTGATCGCAGCGTCCACGAACACCCGCCCAACGCGCTTGCAGCGGTCGGAGCGTGTCGGGCATTCTCTTTGTTTTGTTCGTTTCGCCTGGCGGGAATAAAGGGAAATTAGGACACACAAATAAATACACACAAATAAAATTAGTCCCTATATTTTCCCATATTTTCTGGGTTTTTGTCTTCTCCCCCAATTCCCATATTTTCCCATATTTTCCTGGGAATCGAGGATTAATTGTGTCTGTGTTTTTTTTTCCCTCCTGAGGGAAGCAAACAAGTGAGGGCGCCCCATCACGACACCCCGTGCCCAGCATGCGTTCAGCTGCTGACCATTCCCGATCGGTTCTTGCCCTCCAGGCGGGAAGTGGTACGACAATCGACCGCTTAAGGAAAGCCCTCCACGGCAAGCGACCTCCCTCCCATCCCCCCCACCACCCCACTTCCAGTCAGCCCAGCCCCCACCCAGGCGCCCGAGCGAGCACAGTGGCAGGCTCGCGCGTCAGCATCAGATGTATGCCAGTGAGCACGTTCATCAACGCGATCATGAAGAACGCAACGTACAATAAGAACAGCAGATAGTATACGTAGCCGGAGGAGGCACTCGCCTCGCGGATGGGCGACGCGAGGTCGGACCAGTCGGACCCCCCTGTGGTCGCCTTGTACAGAGTGAGGGT